TTTTTTTTTTTTTTTTTTTTCATATGAAGGATTTCACTGAGTGCTTCAAGTACTGCATAATTACTAATTCAGTCCAATTTGTGAATATTTCCAGTGCCATGTACCTTCAGTAGCTGTGTATGCAGAACTCAAACGAGCAAGTGTACCTAGATTTGGAATTGTTGTCATCATCGCAATGGCAATTTGTAGTACAGCTTATTCAATTACAGCTTCATTTGGCTACTTAACGTTTGGCACAGCAGTTAAGAGTGATGTGCTTTTGAGTTATGACTCTCATGATGTCTTGGTGAATATTGCAAGAGTGATGATATCTGTCATAGTTTTGTCAACAGGAGCAATGGTTGTTTTTTGTGGAAGGTAATGTCATAATAATATTTGTTATGTATTGGATGATGTTGTTTTTCCTATTGAACCCAGTCAAGTCTCAAACCAGACATCACTGCTGCAAAATGTGCAGGCCACTCCAACACAGGCTCAAAATGCTACATAACTATGATGAAATTCACATATGTCCTATTTAAGCTATTTTAGAACATGATCAAGTAGTCTGTACAGGATCAATATCTTTTTTTAAAATATGCAAGATAGCCAAGTGATGATTTCAAAAGCTCAACTAAATTTTGATCAAATATGATTAACAAGATATCAGCCAATTTGTATCAGAAGTGTTTGATTCTTTGCTGTAAGATTCCATTGGATGTGCTCCACAATATGAGCCTAGTAGTTTTGTTACTAGGACAACATACTGAGTATCAGTCCTTGCAATATTAAAGGCTCTACTAGCCACCCTTAATCTTTGCCAATGGTGTTTCATCTGCATGATCCAGCAAGCATATTGATACAGTCGAACCTCTGGTTGCGACCACCTCTTGCAAGCGACCACCTCTCCTCAGCGACCAGTTTTCCAAAATACCAAAAGGTTTCAAGTTAAATCACTATATTTGGAACCTCTTGTAAGCGACCGCGATCACTTTTAGAGATAAAAGTTCGAAATATTGTTTTGTTTTTAACCTTCCTTAAGCAACCACATGACAGATAATAGAGCGACAATTCAAGAATAAGGTGTAATATTATCGTATTCCATGGTAGTACAAGAGACTTAAATTTCTCAATAGGAAGTACTGGATTTTTTTTTAATTGACTCTCCACATGAATACATGTAGAACGTAGGTTGTCACCTCCGAGAGGTGGTCGCTTACGAGAGCTTAGACCATATTGGATCAAAATTTTGCCTCAAGAGCATAATTTATGGTAACTGCAGAGCCTTACGCATGCTTTAAATTTTAAAGCATGCATAAGGCTCTGCAGTTACCATAAATTATGCTGTTGAGGCAAAATTTTGATCCAATATGGTCTAAGCTCTCGTAAGCGACCACCTCCCAGAGGTGACAACCTATGCTTCAGTTGACATTTTGCATGGTCGCTTACCGGAGGTTCGACTGTATGCAAGGTCAAGTTCTTGGTCTGGGTTCATTTGTCCGAGCTGAAAATCAATAAAATGTTGTAATTAGGTCAGAGTGGACTGGAAGAGAGTAAGTTGCCATGGGAATGGAATTTTCATATACATGTGTCTGTATGTGTGTTGCCTAAAGAACTATTAGTCTACAAAGTGTCTATGGTCTCTGCTGCATAATATCATTGACTGAGTTAGCTCTTCATATACTTGATATAATGCCCTCACCAGTCCTCCGATTGGCATATTTTACGCATTTTTCAAACTTGATTATCTCTGGAACTGCCTGTAATACAGATAACTTCAATCAGAAAACACCATAATTATGTTTTTGTAAATTTTTCTTGGAAATCTCTGTGATACACCTAACATTGCAAAGCTGTTCAGAATGTGGATAGCAAGATATACCAGTTTTATCACCATCCAGTAGACAGATTGTTTGTGTTGTCAACACTTATCCACTGGATAGCGATTTATATTTTATGTATGGTGTTATCCACACTTTGAACTTAACTGTGCCTTAGTCCATCTGGTTTGGACAGGCTTGAGCTGGTCTTGAAGGTGTTTGCCTTACAGAGTTTACTGTATTACAGGATATCCACAGCTTGGTGTTTTGAAAGATGGGTACCTATTGCAACTTGGCATATGTGCTACTATATTTTCTAAAAGTCCTTTCCAATAATTCTTTCCTGGCCAGTTGGTTTTGCCATTGGAAAGGATCATTGACCTTCTGGGACTTGAGTCCCTTGCGCTCGCAACTTCATTGCTCAAAAATTGCCCTTGAGGGAGACAATTAAACAAAAGACTGACCAAAGGTTGACTTGTGGCAAGTCTAATGCTCAACCAAAAAGAATCCCATCATTAATCTCTAAAATTTGCAAAATGGTTAATGAATGATCAAAAGGCTTTAAATTTGATGCATGTCCATGTCTTACAGGAGCTGTCTGGAGGGATTGTATCTGGCAGCCTTCAGAATGCCTCCATCTTTTGCTGAAACGAATGAATCCAGACGACGGGTTGTACAAACATTAGTGTGGTTCACATCGTCCCTAATTATTTCCGTTTATGTAAAAGACATACAATATGCTGTAACTCTTATTGGTGGGCTGGCAGCATTGTTTATTTTTTTCTTTCCAGGTAAGCAAATCACATTGCAACGGTATAATTTAAATGAAATTACCATTAGTAAGAATATTGAATGAGTTTATATCTTTGACTGATGCTTGAACATCTTGCAGAATTAATGATTTCATGGTCTTTCCATATTTCTGTTATAAACAATTCTCAGTGCAAGTTATATTGACCAGTCATCAAATCATTCTTTTGATTCTGTTTTCTTGTTTTTCAGGCATATGTCTCGTTCAAGAAATGCTTCAGTACTCATTTCTCACAACCACAAGAAAGTTGTCAATTGTCCTTGGTCTCTGGTATGTTGTTGTTGGAGTGTTTATATTTGCAGACTCTGAAGTGTTTGCCATAATGCAGGACATCAAAGGAAACAGCTTGTACTAAGCTGACCACTTGCTTCAAGGTAGCATCTTCATGTTTCTGTGGTGCCCAGCCGTTACTTTGCCAGCATGCCCTGATGACAAACCAGTTCACACTACAAGTGCAGGAAAACAAACTCTGAATGCCTGATTATAATGAACAAACTTTGTCAAACAAGCCATTTGATCACAACACAGACACTACACTTTATCACATGCTTTGAACTTTACATGAAATACACAAAAAAATCGGGAGTTTGTTAAACTGAAGTTAGATTGTACCATGTCATGAATTCTATTCTGCAGTGTTTACAAGACCACACTTAGGAGAATAAGTGTAACACTAGTCTTTTATATAGACCATTGTATTATTTGTAAAACCTGCAGCCATAATTCCTAGATTTGGAATAAGAATACATTAATTTACATAAGTAATTGTAACACAAGGATCTGTTGATCGTAACAGGGGTGACAACTCCAATTACTATGGGCAGTATCACAAAGCAGTGAAGATTGTTTCAAAAATTCAGTGTATTAATCTCTAGTTTTCCAGAAAAGGGTTTTATTATAACTATTCTCATTAATTTCTTTAAATTCTCAGCAAACATTTTCTGTTCTGCTGCAAGTGTTTATCAGAGTTGTCACCGTCTGTGATACTCCCTCAAAATTTATTGGGATGGGTATATGCTTTCAGAGTAATATTCATTTATAGCTATTTATTTTGTTAGTCCATACAATACTTTTGGGTGTCCCTTTTGTCACATTCAACAAAAATAATTACAGTTAATATACTTGTACTTATTACTTGATATTTTAGTAACTCGCTATTGTAGTAAAATATCATTGGCATTCTTAGGTACTAAGGGTTAATCTCACTGTGAACAAGGTTTACTTTGTTATTTATCATTAAATGAAATGTGTTACTGTTCCTACAGTCACCAATTTATTAAGAACTAGAACATTGTTTCCAATTTTTATGAAACTGTGGTTAAAAATTCAAAACAAAAAAGGAAAATCAAAAGGGAGATCATTGTTAATGGTTTTTTGAATGTTTCCAAATTGGTTTAATTGGGTAGGTTTATAAGAAGGGTAACTATTGTGTATTTTC